TTCCCTTCCCTTCCCCCCTTACTGTTAAAAAACATGTATAGTTTATGTATGAAAAATGTTAATTTGACAGTAAGTGGGTTCATGTTCATGGTCAGTGAGAGCTGTACTGTACATCAATTTAAATAAAATTTAAATTGGTCTGACCATAAGCACTTCATGCACTATGCAGTAAAAGCGTAATGTGTTGACTTCTGCATCTCAAATTTCCTTTGGGAACATTGAGCCTTCTGGTTATGAACCTGTACATGATGAACTATAGGTGCATTTTCCACACTAAGTAATATTTGCTTCTCAGAGGCTTCAGCTCATAGTGATTTTTTTCTGTGCTCTTTGATAGACCCCTCAAGAGGCTGTCTCAATAACAAGCTTTTTTATTCCTCACACAAGGCGATGATCTGATTTTTTTTTTTAGTTTCCTCCATAATCATTTACATGGTCTTGTATGAGCTACCATGAGAATCTGGAGACTTCATTCTCAAGGGTGTTTTTGTGGGTAGATTTTTGATATTTCTACAGATCTGTGTGTTACATGTTCATTTGTTCATTAGTGTTCACTTAGCTGTCAGAAAAGCAGCACCTGCTAACAATACCCTCCTTTGTTTTGCAGACTTCAGAGGTGATGCAAATGAAAGCAGTGATGGTTTAGCTAGAGATTCCTACAGATCAGAACCTGTAGGAATGATTTGGCTTGTTATTGTTCTAACAAAGTATTGTGCAGTTTAGTTCCTGAGGGCTCAGTTTAGACTAATTGCTAATACTCCTTCAAGTCTGTGAATATTTCAGATATAAGACAGCCAGACCAGACTTAGCTGAACTGTCTTGGGTGCCATTAGATTTACCAAACAAGCTCATCTACATTTTGCACCCTTACTTKCTTTCTTAACTGCTACTAGTTTCTCCCCCACAGCTGCAATGGCCTTTCACATTAACCGTGTACACAGATTAACATATCTGACTTACTTAAACTCATTTATAGAGAACAGGCATAATCTGGAGCTGGGTAGGTTCTTTTCCCATTCTTCATGGATCATTTGGCAGCTCATGTTTTTGTCTGTCCTAGAGTAAACATGCTGTGTTTGATCCAAGCATGACTTCATTCTAGGCACTAGAATAGTTTTTTAATAAATATAACAAGTTGGATTGCAAATCCATCTTGCTTTCATGTAAGAAACTCTCCTTCATTAGCACTTCAAGCTGCTTACCACTTCTGCTCCCTAAAGCATGGGGAGAAATACTTCTCTTCCCCTGYCCAGAAGGGAACAGCTGTGGAAGATGTTCTATTAGAATTGAGAGGAGGAAAGTCCTTGGGTTTACCATATGAAAGGATACGATGGGTTCAGGAGACTTTCTATGAATGTGTAAATAATGATTTAACTTTTTTTTTTTTTAAATCAGATCTGTAATTCTTTACAAAGGTCAATATTTACAGTAATCTATAGTAATAATTTAGAGAGATGATTAATGGATACATATCATTCAGACTGAATGATCTGAAAAGAATGGCTTAAAGAAAGGCTCTGAAATAAGAGGAAAGGAGGATGGAACATCTGAAATTTTGGAGAGTAAATCAAGCTTTACTATACTGATACAGTAGGCTGGATGTGCTTTCGATGGATGATATGGATGTATTTGGTATTAACTCTCTTCACTCAGAGTAGCCTTTCAATGCTATTGTTTGAGGCCTTGTGSCCCTAAATGTACTCAGATACTTTCTGCCATGCTTGAGGTTGGGCAACAGTGCTCTTGTCATTAGGTATTGCTATTAGGTATAGCTCCGGCAGGCTTCAGCATCATCCATCATTATTATGAACATTTTTGAACTGAAAAAGCGCAACCAAAAATTGACTTTTGGATGCTATGAGAAGCCTCAAACACATCTGAACCAAATGTTATTTAGTAGATATATGTTAGTCCTCTTCCAATGTCAACAGCTTTCAGCAGAGTGAACATCAGCTTGTCAGCTATAGGCCACAATTCTTTCTCAGGCATAATCTGCAATGCTGGTACAATCTCTTAGTGGRCAAAGGGGAAATTAAGGATGTTGCTTATATGCAATTCTTGTGGGACTGTATCATTGAAAGTCCTACCTATTTATTGAAATCTATTTCCAGCATATGGGATAAGAAAAGCCAAACCTCAATCTCCATTAATTAGATGAAACAGTAGGGCAGTGAACAGCTTTCTTCAAAAATAAGAACTGCTTTAAGAATTTTAATTATTTAGTTTTTGCCTATGTAGTCATGATGATGTTAGACAAAGTTTCACAATCCTGATTTTATAACTTAATGTAAATTTAGGCTAAAAGGAAAAATAATTATAAACCACCAAAATAATTATTCCTACTATAATTAACGCATTTCTGAGAGTGTATTTTTAAACAACTGCTGAGTGCATTATTCTAGTTGGCAGAAGGAAATGAAAAATCTGATGTGAATACATTTTATTGAAAGTCAGCAGGAGGGCTACTAAAATTTCTTTATGAGGCTAGTWGTAGTTAGGTTGAAAGAGTGATGGTTTTCAGATTTGAGTCCTTGTCTGCAATGATAATCTGTTAGTTGGGCATTAACTTTTATCTGACTTTTATTTACTATCATGTTCTTGTGATGGACTAATATGAACCTAGTATAATTTACATAAAATACACTTTCACCTGCATGATTTTGTGTACTTTAACAATTACCTGTAATGTAAAGGGAGGAAAGCAGAGCATGGAATCCATTTCTGACAGCACAACATGACATTGATGCTCAGGTTACAGTAATATGGCCATTGGGAAAAATACAACTGAAGAAAGTTTTGATAAACAGCTCTAGAAGTGACTGGAGAAGTAGTGGAATTGATGATGGATTTGATCATGTTGATGTTGGAGGAAATAAACTGGAAGTCATGCCACAGAGGAATGGAAGCAGAACTACACCGTCCTGGGTCAGAGAGCTAGGAACTTGACTSTTGGTCTGAACAGAGCTCTTGCTTTGCAGACTTACTAAAACATACTTGTTCTGTTAATCTTGGCAGCTTACAGTTTCCTTCTGTGCCATTTTTAATTTTACCTGTAACACCTTCTAGGGAACAGGCTCAGTCACTGAAGATGGGTGATGAGAAGAGGGTTTTATTGCTCGGATCTGGCTATGTATCCGGTCCTGTACTTGAATATCTCACTAGAGATTCCAACATTGACATCACGGTTGGTATGTAAGAATTTGTTTTCATTTCATTATTATGTCTTACTGGAACCTGTGGCAGAACCTTTCTCATAAATAATTAATGGATGTGGTTCTGAGTACAGATAAAGAAAATCTTACTATGCACAGCAGAAAAGGATGTTGTAGCTTTGTGAGCATTTTTAATTTATATAATTGATTTGAAAAGGACATAGCCATGCTAAAACTTAACTGTTTGCATGTGTAATGTAAGCAGCCTGCAGGAAAATTAGAAGTATTTTTTCCTTCTAATCTGCTTTGGGCTTGGGATTGGTTTTGTACCAGTTTTGCACTTTGTAGGTGTTTGTGTTTTCAGCCTCACACAACAAGCATATGAAAATGCTTTTATAGGTTCCTGTATTAGTGAAGTATCTGCTATTGTTATACCCGATGTCCTGGTGGTAAAACTTCAGACCTTGACTTTCCCATGAGCACCATATGCCTATTTGTCTATTCTTCTGTTTTGGTTTTACCTGTAGAGTATTTCAGGCTGGGCTCAGTAATTTCTTTTTGTACTCTTTATGATGACTTTACCCTGATTCTGTGACTTCAGATTTAAAACTCAGTCAGTATTGCTTTATTGCCTGAAAGATACTTTGCTGGGAAATGTTTTGCCTTAAAACTTAGAGTTGTATTGTTGTTGATTCTTGTTATTGCTTTGATTATTTTTTCTTTATGCGACTTTCACACTTGTCTGCTTTTGCTRCCCTTCATGGTGATAACCATAGTACTTTTCACCCGTGGGAAAAGATTTGCTAGGAAGAAGAGGAGATATCTAGGAAAGCAGCAGCCTTGTTATGAGCACTGCCTGAAGTGGTGAAGAGGGAAGGATTACAGCAATGTGCAGTGCTCATCCCCTCGTAACCACAAAGGCTTCATCCACTCCCTGCTGCGGGGTAGCAGGAAGGGAAACCAGGTGAACTGGAAGATCTGTTTTGCCAAGCACTGAGCAAACATAGCCTCTATCTGGGTAGCTTAAAAACATGCAGTTTCTACAGCACACACACACAAATAGCAAGAAGATATTACTTGTTTAATATTTGACAGAAGGCAACTAGGTGCAGGAAACACAAAATGCACAAAATACACATCACAGTGGTTTCCTGTTAGGCTACACCACTTTAAGTCCAAATGACGAAAACTTTAAGTGGGAAACCTTCATGTAATCAGCTTTTTTTTGTTTGAATTTGTAGATGATTTTGCCTAAATCTTTTCCCTCAACGCAATTTGATTAGTAGAGTATAGAGAATCATGCTCTGGTACTATTTATTTTCCACTGACTGTAGGAAGGCTATAAGGAAATAAGGCCCTGACTTAGAAGCACAGATATTTTTAATTTTCCATGTGCTTGTGCCCCGCCTGCTGCCTTCTTTGACCATTCCTTTTTCCTGGCTRTGTTCTCTGATTTGTGCTGGCAGCAGGGTGAGCTGGGGAAGGAAATTAGTCAGATGTAGCAAATACTGGTTGTATTACTGTGGTTCTCTTTTTCAGTTCTGCTTTCCTTATAATGGTAAGTGCTGATGGCTTTTAATTCCCCAGAAGTCTGTGCCCCACTTGCTGCCTTCTTGGCCACTCCTTTTGTGTTTTGCCAGCTGCTTGTGCTGGCAGCGTGGTGRGCTGGGACAGGAAACCAGTCAGAGGTGGCAAGTGCTGGTTGTGTTATTGTGGAGCTGCTTCAGTTCTGCTTTCTTTATAATGGTAGTGAAGGCAGGCAAAGACTGAGTTTATCYCATTTAGTTATAATATCATATTTGGGATTGGTAGGACTGAGGCCTGGGTAAATATTAAAACTCGTCAGATTGAGTCTGGGACTTTTAGTCACACTTGACCTAAGCTAAATTTTAATGTTCATATCTTTGTCATGTTAAAAATGGTGATTGATATGAATTGGTTGTGATTTAAGCTATTAAGTTGTTCTTGACTGTAAATATTAGTTTTGTTAAAGTGTATTGAAATAGAGTTTTGAAATATTTATTTTTAAAACAGATTTATATATGTATAGCTATGTGGAATGAGGGACTGAGTAAATTTTTCTGAACATGTGTTTGTTTACTAAAAGCCTGATTTTTCTTCAACTGTTAGTGAAGAATTAATGCATGCAACTGTTTCTCTTTGGGAAATATAGTACAATTATACTTTGGACAGCTGTGCTTTGGACTTAACATCATCTTTAKGTAATGGTTTCTCTGTTTTACTTTTGAAACAGTATCTGTCATGAAGGAGCAACTTGAGCAACTGACAAAAAAATACAGAAATGTTACTCCAGTTCATATGGATGTCCTTAAGCATGAAGAAAAGCTGTCCTCTTTGGTGAAGAAACATGACCTTGTGATCAGGTCAGAAKTCTGTGTAAAACCCTAAGTCATGCTGCTTCTTTCTCCTAGTTGATTGACCTAAATCAGCACAGTAATTTTTCTTTTAATGGCCAGGAAGTGGGGTCATATTTGTATATGCAAGTAGTTGTAACTGACTGCTGCCTTCTCATGTAGCAGGGCATCAGAAATTTAGAAGGCTTTTGACTTCAGAAGCTTTCACTGGTTAGGTGGACTCCCTTGTTAGTGTGAAGGGCCAGTTGCATCCACAAGTGTACGTGTCCCTGGGATCAAATTTGCATGTTCACAAGGGGAGGGAAAATTCTGACATTTTGATAATTTCTCCTGAATATCCCATTAAGGAAGAACTCATTCCAGATATTGGTACAAGGAAGGAACTTCATAGTCCTTTGTTTCTTTTGCCATGGGTGTCATGAGCTTTCTTTCCGTTCCACATAGAGCACGTTTTTCACAAAGTACTTCACCAAGATCTTTATAATGCAAGCTTTCTCAAGGACAGTTTTGCAGTTTTGCATCTTCTAAACCTCTAGCATGCTTGTTTAGAAGATGGCTTTGGAAAGAGGTCAGTGATTTGTGTTTTACAGAGAAGTGTGACAAAAGATGCTCTCTCAAGAATGACTCCCCTATTGTTCAGTGCCCTGTTCTGAGTGCATACAACAATGCTGTCCCGATAGGTAGTGTTTCACCTTCACAGGTATGAAACTGCTCAGGGCAAGGCAGGCATGACTTATTTTAAATTATTACTTGAGCTCTTTTGTAGACATACAATAARCCTTTGAGTGTCTTTCCAGTGATGGGATAAGTAACTGGTTGAATTTTGATGTTGAGTAATTCTCCTTCATTTGTAGTTTGCTGCCTTATTCAGCACATCCTTTTGTTGCTAAGAAATGTATTGACAACAAAGTGAACTTGGTGACAGCCAGCTACTTAACACCAGCTATGAAAGAACTTCAGGAGAGGTAGGTGTGAAAGTAGCATCTCTCTGGTGTTGTTCCTTCTTTAGTACATTATCTGAATATTTTGCAGTCTGTTACACCTGTAACATTTACTGTGGATTACTGGTTTCTGCTTTCTTTCTCCTTCCCTTTCTGTGGTGGAGGACCAAGTAACTTTCCCCAAAGGTACATGTGACAGAGTGGAGCAATGAGTGCATAGCCCAATCTGATTAGGCTAATGCTCTAAATAATGGAATGYACTTTTCTGCCTGCATCATCCTATTTCATGTTAATGTGCCTTTTTGTCTCCCCTCAATCTGTTAAGATGTTTSAGCTGGGCTGATATTCAAGTTGAATAGCTGGGCACTCTTATTTTACCAGCAAGCTTGTTTGTCATCTTTTGCCTTCCCCCAGTAAAAATTCAGTCTTGGCCTGTTGTATCCACAATAATTTCCCCCCTCGTGTTTTTCTTTTGGATACACACACTGTATTATTTTCACATTGGTGACAACTCTARTGTTTCTGTTGTCCTACTTATTATATGCTTGGCCATGAGCATGGAGCTTCATCTAGGGGTGCCTCTCACTCACAGTACTGGAAAATCTAGAGTGCATTCAAGTGAAGTGAGAATTGTACATGCTGTGTCTTTACCAAAAATAAAACAGAAAGAGCTAGACAGGTGGAGAACCAGTATTGCAGAAAGAGAGGAATATTTAGGGGCTTCTACCATTTTAACTGAGGTCACAGCATGCTGTCAGGAAAAAAAAAATTAAAAAGGCTACTTCTCATTTGTCAAAAGGCAAACTGATTTTGAAAACAAAAGAATTCCTCAGTTTGTGGTGATATGTGAACTCCTCTGAGCTGTAGGAAACTCTTAGGAAGAAAAAAACCCTCAAATACTTGTAATTTGGAAAAGCAGGCCTTTTAATCTCTCTTCCTTGTAGGAGCTCTTTAGTACAATTATGAGTAACTGTGCTGCCCTACCTTCCCGCATTTTAACACTGGCCAGGAGAATGTGGGATACGGAGTAGCCGGTAGAAATTTCTTTTTCCACCACAACCTAGGTGTTGCAGAGATGTAAGAGAAGCAAAGGTTAGRAGGCTCTAAAATGGCTGTCACTGTTCGGGTTTTAACATCTGCTGCTGCTTCTTTTTTCCAACAGGCTGCAGAGAGAGCCCAGGATTTACTGTGTTGGAGAAGTTTCACTGGGCCTTTGTTGGACAGGTTTACAGAATAAAAGGCCAGTAATAGTGAATGTTCTGATGGCTCTGTATTTCTGTTATTTTTAGTGTAGAAGCTGCTGGTATTACAGTCATCAGTGAAATGGGTTTGGATCCTGGTCTTGACCACATGCTGGCGATGGAATGTATTGACAAGGCAAAAGAAGTTGGTGCCACGGTGAGGTTAGCGGGCAGCGCATAGTTCTGCCAAGATTATATTAGTAAAGCTGTTCTTTTAACACCATGCAGGTTTTGAGCACGTCACTGATGTGTAACAGATTCTTGACATTTTACTTTTTCTGTTGCTTTCARTTTGATAGCTGATAATTCACTTGGTGAGACCATCAATTAAGATGGCCTTGCCCCAGTGTATCTTTTGGTTTCTKCTCCTTTATAGGCAGTGCCTGCAGTCTTCCCCTCCCTACTGTAGATTCTTCTGATTTGGCCCATTTGGGGGTTAATTTTAACAGAAATTTTAAGAACTGATGGGGATTCTGCAAGGCAGATCTGTATGCATCCTGATCTTTCTTCACTGTTTCTTTCCTGTGGATAATTCTGACAGGTTATATCATACAGTTCTTTCTGCGGTGGCCTGCCAGCTCCAGAGCACTCTGACAATCCTCTGAGATACAAGTTCAGCTGGAGTCCACAAGGAGTGTTGCTGAATACAGTTCAGTCTGCTACGTATTTAAAAGATGGAGAGGTGAAGTRATGTGAATATTTTCCTTTAAAACCAGACAAAGGTGGTATTGGCTAAGGAAGGAATTSGGACTTGAAAGATGCTGTGTTTACTTTCAAGCCAGCGGCAGTCAGTTGCCTGAGCCATCTGCATAAATCACTTAATTCTATGTTTGGAGCATGATGAWGGCTGGCCACTGCCAGCTTGATTCTTACTTACTTTGTGGAAACTGATTGCCAGGAAGGAATTTGTTCTAATTACTGAAGCACTGGATTGGAGTTGAATTTTCCGGGTTCAACTTCCATTCCTGTTTGGTGTTGCTTTTGCCACTTGATTGCCTTATCTTTGTCCCTCAGAAACCAAGGTGACAGTGCTTTTCTATCTAGTCATGTTCATAAACCAAACTGCTTCATTTTATACTTGCATGGTGCATAGCAGAACTTTAGATTCCTTTATCTTTTGGAGCAATATACCAATAATCCACTGAGTGAGTTTTGTGAAACTTTTTTTTTTTGTGTATTTTAAACAAAAACCCTCTGGTTTGCTGCTTGTGCAGGAGCTGTTAGTCTTAAACTCACAAATGTCACTGCTTCTGTTTTATGGAAAGATTGAAATTGATTTTGCAAAGCTATTGCAAGCTATTATCACAGACCATATCCTTTCCAGGACAATCTGTTTCCACTGTCACCTGTTCAGAGTAGTTATTGCAATGGTCAAGGAGACTGCCTTGTATAACCACTGTAAAGTTTAGCTAATTGCCTAAAACATTTTCATCTGCAAAACTCAGAAATCTTTGATCAGCCAAACTTAGAAATCCTTTATCAARGTATTTTGGTCCCTACTGTTCTTACTGAAGTAAGAAAGGAGATATTCAGGGATTGTACATTGGGTCRTTATTTAAAAAGCAACAATGTATAAGTTTCAGATGAAAGGGTTTCCTSGACAATGTGAAAATATGTCTGATTTAATTCTGATCTGGTTCACCTATTGCCAGGAAAAATTARATCATGCATATCAATGATTCATTATGAGAGCACTCGGTGAGCTTGACATTAAATTCTGCAATTTTTCATCCTAGCCACAAAATACTTACGTCTTTTACCACCTGTCTTGCCTGGCAAACACATCTAGATCTTTTTGTGTTACTGCAGGTTTCACTGCTTCAGTATTTCTTCTAGAAGTAAACCTTGCCCCTTTGCTCAGAAGTCAGAAAATGAGTTTGTATTGATGCCACATAGCAGATCAGGGCTTTATTTAAGCAGAGCTGCTTGAAGGAAGGAGGGTTCAAGGCCGTAGCTGAGAGTGATAATAGAACTAGTCAACCTTTTTTTTTTGTTTGTTTTCCTTCAATGGTGCATTCTCTCTGTGCTTGGTCACCTTAARTAAAGATACTCATGGGCAGTAATTTTATATCCATGGGATAGAACTTGATTTATTTTAATCTTATAARAACAGGAACAAACACAATTCTATCTGCCTTCTCTCCCATATAAAAAAACCCCAACCAAAACCTAAACAAGATAGTAAATTATTTGATCAAAAAGGAAGGAGCTCATGGGCAGAATCTCCCTTCACTCTGGTGCAGTTTGGGACATGCTCCCAAATGACATTAATGAAARTGAAACGGGAACCTGCCACTTGAACATACGTGTAACAGGAATTAACAGGGTGTGTGAGAAGGACAAGGCTTGTTTTAGCCCTTTGATTAGTAATGGCTGACACAATGCTTGCTCTTCCTGCACCAGATATGATTAAATGGCTTGGGCAACTGCTTTATTGAGCCTGGGCCTCTGTTTGCACATGGAACACCAAACATGTTTTTCCTGTTTTTGAGCACACTTTATCTTTTCTGTTCTAAAATAAGATGCACAAAATAATATTTGCTGTTCTTTTGCAAACTTTAGATTATCAATATTCCACCTGGAGGAGCGTTACTGGATTCTGTTACTCCCATGGATTTTTTCCCAGGGCTAAACCTTGAAGGTTTTCCTAACAGAGACAGCACAAAATATGCTGAGCCATATGGTATTCAGACAGCTCGCACTATACTGAGAGGCACCTTAAGATACAAAGTAAGTTGTTGGTGTTGTTATTAGTAATTATTGTTTTCCTCAAGAGATGAATGCTCTAATTTCAAGTCAACTGTATATTTTAAACTCAGCCTTTTATAGCTCTGCACTTGCTAATTATGATCTCCCCATTATCCCAGCTGAGAGATAACTGAGAGCATTTATCTCATTTTTTAAATGTGGCTTTACTTGCTTTGCTTTTCATTTGTTAGGTGCCCAAAGCAGAATCAAAACAATATTTTTCAGATTTTCTTTTTTTTTGTTTTGTCAGCCAATATACATTAAGAAGAAATAAACCTAAAACCATATTGAAGGTTTGAAAAACCTTTTATGGATGTTGCAATATATCTATTGTTTATGTCAGGGTTTAAGTCATTGTTATTTGTCCACATCCTGAGGAAAGTGTATGTCCTTTCTGTCCTAATTCCTCTGTTGTAATACAATAGGATATTTTCTGTATGTTTGGGAGAGAGGGAGGCTTTCTTAGATGAAGGCATGGAAGATGGAAGGCCAGTATGGGGAATAAGGGATATAAATTGCAATAGCTCTCTCTTTATCAGTCTAGATACCATCTCTTTTTCAAAAGGTACATCTATCTCATCATGAAATCTTAATATGACAATCTCTACTCTTCCATTTGGTGCCTGGTAAAACTTTCTTCTTTTGAATGTGTTAGCACAAGGAACTACAAAAGTGTTGGGGTGACAGGACAAGTGGTTGTCAGTGCTGCAAGAATGCTGTTTCTGCAGTTAACGCTGTTTTCTTACCCCCAAAGCAGGGCCAGCACTTTGGGCTGGGGAGATGTTTGTAGGGTTGTGTGGAAGAGTTTGCCATAGCAGGGCAGAAGTGAGTGTGGGCCCTTTGCACGTGCTGCTGTGCTGCAGAGCAGAAACCCATCTGTTCACTGACGAGTCAGTCATGTGAACTTGCCTTTTAGAGATTAAGTTTAGACAGCTGATGGAGTCAGTTTGAAAAGAGGTGTCTCACAAAAGGATGTTGCTGCAAGGCTTCTGAGCTGATTTCCTAGTGCTCATGGAAGTGGCTGCTAATTAAAATCAGTCCTATTTCAGGGTGCTTWATTTCTGCCATTCTGCTTTTTCAGTGTTTCAAGTTACTTGCATGTAAGCACTTTCAGGTACCCAGCAGCTGTGTGGGAATGCAATGGATACAAACAAATGTAAGCAGACACCAGCTGAGACTTCTGTTATTGTGCAACCCAATGCAACCTTTGCAGGTCTTTTAAAATACCATTCTGTTGCTGCTTGCTTGTCTGATATTCCTGAAGATGAGAAACACCCAGGATTTTTATCTTTAAAATCAGTGTGTCTCATGTCCACACAATCCCAGTGGTGTGAAACTGGGTGAGCAGAGCTCCCGTTGTGCTCTCTGTGTTCAGTGTTTGGTTTATGGGCCAGCTGGCTGATACAATCCTGTAGTGATGGGCTGGGGTTTCAACTAGCTCAGCCCTTTGATCTCAGGAACCATGGTACTTGCCATGGAAATATTGATGACAGAATAAGCCATCAAAAATATATATTTAAAGGGAAGGAAGGGCTGGGGAGGGGCTGGGGAAGAAACTGTGTCAATAACCTCACTGGCATCAAGTTATTTTGTGACTGACTTCCCAAGAGAATAATACTTTAACACTGCCATGGCTGTGTCTATCACTGCATTCAAACTAAGGAGAAATATGTCAGTTTCAAGCAATTATTGTATTTAATGGTGTTATTCTTTTATTTCAGGGATACTCCAGAACTATGGGAGGCTTTGTAAAACTAGGATTAATTAACCCAGATCCTTATCCTTTGCTAAGCTCAACTACACCACCTCTAACCTGGGTGAGTTTCTCTGATTACTCTGCCTTCTTTTCTCTGTTTTATTGATGGTTTTCTTATTGCTAGACTTGGCTCTACTTAGCAATGGCAATCTTGTATTGCATCCTGAGCTCTGATTTTTGTTTCTGGAAATCTGGAAGGCTTTCTTGAGCAAAAATGTAATATGGTGCTGGAACAGGTTGTCTGATAGATTCTGCGATGTCTGACATTGGAGGCTTTCAGGACTCAGCTAGACAAAGCCATGATCATATTTTTAAGAATTATCTTAGAATTAAGACAATTAAAAATTAAGAATTAATCTTAGAATTGAGAATTGTCTTTAAGAATTTTTTGTTAGTCACAGTCTAGTCCTCAGTGCTCTGACTTTGTAGTGTCCATATTGCTACTGGTTTGTGATCTTCAGTGTAAAAGTGTGCTTTAAGGGCATCAAGAAGTAACAGATGGTGCATAAAGGAGTATATTACAATCAGTTTTCCATTAAAATTCTGTGCAAGCATTTTTTTGGTTTCCTGTTTTGTTTTTCTGTCTTGATTTTGGGTGCCTYGCTTATGTGTATCTCAGCCAAAGCATGACCTGATGTGCTGCTGGTATATTTGACAATCAATATTTTTGATGTCTCTGTGGACAAACAGGGAATTTAATATTTCAGTATGGGGTGAAGAGAGCTTGATTGACAAACAGCTTATTACTTACGTCAGGTGTGTTTGTCTTCTAAGAAAATTTTCTTCCCTTTTGCAAATGCCTGAGAGAATAACTGCTTATTAGTCAGATGAGCAAAATTCAAATCTGTCTTCTTATTTGTGACTTTTTTAAGCATTAATCTGGGAAAAACCAGGCTTGTGCTGTGTGGTGGTCTGAGGACAGCACAGTATTTTTCTGGTGATGTAATTATTTCCAGTTAAGAACTTCTTGAGTGTTCTTAGAACCAAGAAAGCAGAAGGTGAAGAAGGCACAGGCTTACACATCTCTGACTAAATATAATACTGGGAAGATCAGCAGTATTTGGGTGACCATTTGTGATTTTTTTTTTTTTATTTTGAGATTATTTTTGTCCACTTTGAATTTCAGGGTTGACATTTTCAAGTTTTCTTTTCAAAGATGGCTGGAATTTTCAGTTCTTCTAGCACCAGTGAATAAGTGTTATGTAATCTGTAAAAATAGCTATAAACTCATTATTCTTTGCTATCCAGAGGAAGGGATAAGACTAAAATTTTGGGGGAAACAGCTGAGGGGTAGGGTACAAAGTCTTTTACGAAAAGATGAACTCTATTTTCACCTGCTGTGATTAAAACTCTCAAACTTTCTCACTTTCCCTGGGCATATAACCTGTCTTCTCAGAAGTCCTGAATTTTAACTGATTTTAGTGGAGCAATTGGTTCTCAAAACCTTGATTGAAATGAAGTGGGAACAGATGTCAGGCCTTCAAGAACCTTTTTTCTTTTAACACAGAAAGAGCTTATGTGCAAGCTGGTTGGAATTAAGTCACCTGCTGAGCCCCATGTTCTTAAAGAAGCTGTATTTAGCAAACTGGAGAAGGACAAAAATCAGCTGGAAGCAGTGGAATGGTAAAATGTTCCAACAATTTTTAAAGTTTAAAACGAAAACTGCAATTCTGGTCATTTTGGTCCATGTTGAGACTATTAAATTGGTATGCTGAACAACTGGATTTTGTAATTACAAAACTGAGATGATTCTGTTAATAGGCAATGATATAAGACTTTCTAATTTCTTCTGCCAGGTTAGGTTTATTGGGAGATGAACCAGTTCCAGCAGCAGATTCCATTGTAGGGGCTCTTGCAAAGCACATGGAGACGAAGCTGCCCTTTGGTATGTAAGAAATTCTTTCTCATGGGTTTGAATGGAACAAAGCAATATCTTTTATAAGCCTCAATTGGATTACTTTGCTCACTCTCATTAATAAATCTTCATATCAGGTTTTTCTTTTAATCGATTGTGATGTTCTCTAGTTCCCCAATTTATCCTTTTCTTTCCCTGTTACACTTTTAATGTGATCTTAGTATTCTGTCCTCCTTAATAGCCCTTGCCTTCAGTCACTTCCCTGATATAGATGCTGTGGATGTGTAGAGCCTGGCTCCTCAGKAAGCCCCTCTTGATGTGACTGAAACACAAGTAATCAAGAGTTTGTGTGCTTTTCTCTTAGGCACTGGAGAGAGAGATATGATTGTTATGAGAAGTGAAATAGGTCTCAGGCATCCTTCTGGTCATTTGGAAGACAAATGTATTGATCTGGTTGTCTATGGGGATAACAAAGGATATTCTGCAATGGCAAAAACAGTAGGATACCCTGCGGCTATTGCTGCTAAAATGGTTCTGGATGGTAAGTRGCCATTTCTCTGTGTCTTCCTAAATTCTCTGTATCTTCTTGCRTGTAGAAAGTAAATACATAGTGCTTCTGAAATGTATTTATGTTGGGGTGTTTTTTTWAAATTTGTCAGACTCTTCCTGTCTTCTTTACAGGGATTTTTAATCTGCATGTTTGGATGTTCAAATGTTCAGTGACAGCTCTTAATCTACGGCTTAATCCACAAAGATTTTTAAGTAATTTAATCTTAAATGTTACACTAGTGTAGAGGAAACCTTTAGCATGATAAATGATAATTGATTATGCCACAATGAAACAGGCTAACATATATCTGTGCTGAATAGAGWCTTCCACTGCTTCTTTCTGGATTGATTACATTTGAGGCTTGGGACATATTAACTGATCATGTTGATTTTATATAAACAGTCAAACTCCTCCTAGTCATCACTGTGYTGAAAGAAATAGTGTGATTTCCCCTTCCTTGCTATTAATCTTTAGAACTTTGTAATCCTGTCTGWCTGAAATGAGCAAAACTTTGGGGAATTTTTGTTATTTTTCTTTTTTAAAAACACCCAGTAACTCAAACTTTGGAAGTTTAGATACTTTTCACCAAACTGCAGTTTCACAGCTGTAATAATTAAGTTCAAGCTGTGCATGCCACTGTGTGTCTCAAACTTCTTTTCCATATTCTTTGATACAGTACTGATGCTGTTAGAGAACACAATGCCAGGATAGTTAAATTTGCATGTAAATAAATGCAAAAAATGTTATAAAAAGAAAATTTATATAATTTACCTCAGTTGATGTAAATACAGGGACATAAGTTTCCAGTTACTGTCATAGGCAAAACAGTCTCAGCTTGGTGGAAAAACTGATTTACTTTATTTCCAATTAAAACAGGTTTGGATAMTGCAAAGAATGAGATAAATTAAACAAACACTTTCCTCCCTGATCCGTTTTCCCAGGCTCACTCTCTGTTTACTTCTCAGCCTCTTCCCTCTTTCCTGAGTAGCACAGGGAGCTGGAGAATGGGGGCCTGTGGTGAATTCATAACAGCTTCTCTGCTGCTCTCCCCTCCTGCTTTTCTTCTTCTCCAGCTGGATCTCCACTCTGGAGCCCACTGGGGGAAATCTCTACTCCAGTGCCTGAAACGCCCCTGCCCTCCTCTTCTCTGACCTGGTGATGCAGGGCTGTTTCTCACACTTCTTGCCTCACAGCTGTTCAACACCTTTCTTAAATAAATATTCCCTGAGTGCCCCATGGCTGAGGGGCTCAGCAGTGCCCTGCACCTGGAGCCGGCCGTGTCCAGTGCAGCAGCCCCAACCTTGCCCACAGAAGCCCCACTCTGCAGCTACCAAAGCCTTTCCAAGTGAACCCAATAGAGCACTAACACTGTTTTTTTTCATATCTTTATTTCAGGTGAAATAGCTGCCAAAGGCATGGTCATACCTTTGACAAAGAACGTTTATGGGCCAATACTTGAACGTGTTCAGGCGGAAGGCATTGTGTACAGTACTCGCAGCGTTATCAAACAGTAACCCAAAGCAGTGGATTCAATCAGGTTTTGGCTTTTTTTGGTTCCCTCACCTCCCCTTTTAGAATCTCAGTTTGGACCAGCTAAAGGCAGCACCTACAATTTCATACAAAGATGTTGCCTTCCATTAAACCTACACCAGGCTTTGACATAGAAACAGCAGATACTCACAAATTGTGATATTTTCCTCTTAAAATTGTTAAAATTTCATGTACATTTTTCAGCATCAATCAGATCTTTCCTCATATCTTTTCTAAAATATTTCAGAAGGTTTTTTTTGTTATTAGAATTTGTCTTCTAAGTGTATAAGGTTATTATTGCGACAAATTTAAGCTGAAAGAAAAATCTATTAGTGGTTTATTTTGTGGTGGAAAAGTTTAATTAATGAATTCCATTGATAAAGTTTGATTTCTCGTGTGGTAAAAATAATTTTTCAGAAAAATGTAGATGAAAATGATACTTAAATTCTAAGTCTGGTTTTCCCTTTCACTTTAGCAGTATTTGTGAAAGTTTTCACAGTARCATGCAAAAAATAATTTAGAAGTTCTGCACTACTAGTTAATAAGATCCTGCTAAATCTTGAAAATGTTCAATTCTTAGATGTTTGAAACCTTCATCTTAATATTTTTTAATCTTATAAAATTAGTTTTAATTAACTTTACAATGACTGCAAATTAAAATGAATTGGAGGAAGGAGGAAGTTTAAAGCAAGCTTCCCCCCATCCCCTTTCTTGTTACAGAGTGGAAGCTGCTTGCAATATATAGAAATACCTGCTGTTACGTGTTTTCTTGTGCTGTGGAGAGAGCACATTAGTGTTTAGCTCTGCAGCAAGGAAGGGCAATCTGCAATCCAACACAGTTAATGTGCTTCGAAGACGCTCCAAACGACATGTTTACTCTTTCCACTTACCCTGTGTTCCTCATCCAGGTTAAGCGCTGTTACAAAGGGAATAATTGTGCAGTATATTGAAATGCAGTAGGCTTAGAGGTTTTTGCCACTTTTTGAGTTAGGTTCTGTCCTTCTGCTAACCAAGTTTTGAAGCGTTCACTTGGGAACCTATGCCTACTAGTCAGAACAGAGCCACTTTAGGCTGGTGGAGTTTGCCAGCATACCAGCTCTTTTGCTGCTGAGTGCTGTGCTGACAGATGTGTCACCCTGCTCTTGCTGTAGTTTAGCCACATCAGTGCAGAACTGAGATTTAGTCTGAGTGCAGCTTCTCTGTAGCAAAGCACCAGTTGCCTCCTTTCATTTCAGGGCCACTTCTCTGGCTTTTGCTTAGAGATTTCTACACCAACTTTCATTAAAGCATGRCTTAGGCTTTACCAGTCGGGTCTGTGAGTTGTAATGCCGTGGGCAGATTGTATTTGCACTGGTACCTGTGCAGCTGCCTAGAGCTTTCCTTCTCTAAAGCTGAATACTGAAGCAGGAAGCTGCTTTCAGCTTTGCTCACAAATGCACTTTGCAGATAAACGCACAGCCTTTTCCTTCCGGAGAGCCAGTGCTGTAATCACGGTTCTGAGGGGCTGGAATTCCAGGTGTTGTTTTGCATGGTGGGAAAAGCAGCCATAGCAATAATTCAAGTTTTGATCTCCAAGTTTTGCTACTCAGGATTTGTATTTTCTTTGTGCAGATGCAATGAAGTAGCAACTGCAACAGAGTTAGGTGAAAGGAGCCAAAGGGAGAAAGGAGAATGAAGGGCAAAGTATTATTGTGAAAGAGGACTTTTTGTACTAAACCAATGCTTTTATAATGTAATGTCAGTTTTGGATTCTGTTACAGTGACATGCATATATCACACAGAGTCCTGGCTCCACAAAGTTGCTTTGCTTCCCACTGACCTTACAAGCTGTTGGTCAGTTCTCTGGCTCTTATCTGCAGCTGGGGCGAGGATGAACCTGCAATGAATGTTCTGCCCTCTGCTGCCTCCCCCTTCAGGCAGATTAATGGCCTACAGCTAAGGGTTAAAGTTGTACTTGTATCTGCTGGTCCCTTCCAGTCCAGTGCTGGGTGAGACCAGGATTTTACTTGAGAATTCTGTTCCCTCCCTTAGCCCATAAATATTCAACCATAGAGTCGTACCTCTGTACATATGCATGTACCACACTTGCATTTCTGCTTTAGAAATGCAGTATGAGATGAAAATCAGAGTTTTTTGAAAGTATCAAATATTTTTGGAGCACTAAAGAATGAGCACTACAGTGTTTTCTTCAAGAACACTGCTACTATTTTTGAACATTTTATATCGGAATATATTTCTATTTCCTAGTGCAATGCTGCATTTTGTTTTCTATGTTTAGACTTAGAAGAATTTATTGCTCATCTTTTTGTATGAAGATAATACTTCTCAGTTCTCTTTGCATATTACTGGAAATTGTAATTCCTGATAATTGTATCTTATACATGAGATTGCTTTAAAAATAAATCTGAAATCYTCTGTTTTGTTGTCATGTCGTCTTTACAGTCTAATAATAAGATGTACCTGCATGGGATTTGTTTTTTTCACGTGGATGGTTATATTGAAAGAGTGCCTACACATGGACTTTTCTATGTGCATGAAATAACTTTGCATACTCTTGCTAGACTCACGGGGAAGAGTCTTCAAGGATTGTTTAAACATTCCCACCTCTCTATAWAGGTATATCTGTACCTAGATATTTTACTGCTATATACTTAAGACATTAAAATTTTTTTRGCATGTTTTGTTTTAGCACACAAGGACAAACACTGAAGTGAAAAGCTGCAGAACAGTAGGTGTGTAACACCCCTCTGTGTAGGGTACCAGTGGGGCCTTTCATTCTGTTTTTAACCCCAGCATGACAATATTGCTATCAAGTTTTGTCAACTGATTTTAGAAGTCTGTACTAAAGTCTTTAGTTAATTTGTTGTCGTACTGATAGTGATGAGTTTTTATGACTTCTGTCCATCACTTACTGCTGATTCTTGTAAAGCTTTTCCATTGGGGTACTAAATTTCCACAACACAATCACTAAAAAGTTGCTGATAGTAAATTACTTGTTTTCTTCCTTTTTTTTTAAACCCTGAACTTTTTAATGATTTCTTAGGAGGAAGATCACTACTCAAGTTTTCCTTGCCACATGACTTACAGCTTTGTAAAGAAAAAAAGCTTAACGTGACATTGTTTATTAATATCTTACTTCTTGCCAGAGATACATAACGTCTTCTCCACACTTGACCCAGTTTGAAAAGGCAGGCTATATGTCTTTTGAGTCTGTAGCTTGGATTACAAGAAAAAAATTAATTAGAATATGGCCTTTGTCTGAGAGAGGAACTGACACGCATTTATTAAAATCTGTAATCCATCACAGTTGAAGATTATAGAAGATTTTTTTATGATTCTTATTTTTTTCTAGATCAGAACCAATATGTGTGAGTAAAGAGATTATCTTAAGCACTTATGTTTTAAATAACTTGTCAGCATGCTAAGATGATGAATGTGATTACAAACATCTCTGGAAGAAACCTTGAATGACAGCTGATTCCTTGGATTACCATTTTAAAATGTCTGCAAAACATTTAGGTTGAAAGGAACAGTTATATCAAGATGGAATTTTAAAAAGGATTCCTTTTTTGCTTTTGGTCCATAGCTGCTTGAAAAAATATAATAGAATTAAGTTGCTTAAAAATTACTTTGGGTATACAAATATATGAAACTGTAAATACATGAAGATAACTTCATGGTTTTTATTTGATATGTGAGGCAACAAGCCAGTTTTCCAGAAGAAAAGGCTGAAGTAGCACRAGAGCACCAAAGTTTCTCTTGTGCTAATGTGGTAAAGTGCAGAAGTACAGCATCTGCTAATAAGGTTATGGAATATGGATGGCAAATGACTATAAGATCAAAATTAACCTCTTTGGCATATACACCCCTAGAGATTAAGAAATCAAAARTTGTTTCTGTAATGTTTGAATGAGAAGGGGCAAGTAGATAAYATTGCTGGCTTTGTTAGCCTGGATCTGAAAACAGAGTGTGCAGCAAACCTGAGTGCTTTAGAGGAAKTCGTGAGGAACCCTCAGGCCATCTGAAAAAGAAGATAATCCCTTTCTCAAAGTGCAACCATTACACACCTTTGTATGCACCAAAATTGTGCCTGAACACTGTGAAAAATGTGTAATTCTTACAAAAATGTGCACCATTTGGGGCAATGTGCCTGTCATGGACATTTTAAACTCCTGTCAATCCCCAAACTCCACAAATTTAATAAGAAAATAGTTCTAGATCCTATTCCTCAAAGGCATTTAACTCTACCTGGGATACATCCAGGCTCCTCCAGGGCCTCGCCAGTGCAACCTTCAGTACAATTTTCTTGCCAGTTCTGAAGGCTACCAAGAATTGAGGCCAACTTGAAACATTTTGWTTTTGTTCTTGCAGAGGTTGCTTGCTTCACTGCTTCCCAGGGTTTGGCTGTTGCCTTTCCTAAGGAGGCAGCAGAGAGCTCAGCAGTGAATGACCTCAAGCCACCCCAGTGTGGAGGTGTCTTRTGAGGAGCCCAGCTAAGGCAATTGGGACCCCTGGGACAGCCCAATAACCTGGGGCAACCAGATGTGGGAGGAGATGYGAAACAAGGAGCTAATGTGGACACTGTAGGTATGGGTGGGAGGGGAGCAGAGATTAAAAAACATAAAAAWTTTTTTAAGTGTCTCCTGAACTTGCAGATTACATGGGAAGAGCAGCTGTCTGCAGATCAGCCTTAGGTCCTTGTTCCTGTAAGTAAAAGCTTTCCTGCACAACAGTGAAGGCTGTTTGCTGTACATGGAAGACTGCTAAGCACAGGCTGGAATATTTATATTTATTTTTGCAATACCAGGGTAAAAACAATTTAACAATACCAAGTACATGTTATTCTCATAAAAACCTTTCATTTCAAAACAAATGATTTCTATTTCCCACAAAAAGTTAAAATCACATGCAGCTATCTGAAGGTAAATTGCTTAAGATGCACAATTATGTATCAGAAGACTTTGTTAAAATAAAAACATACTGACTACATCATTTTAACAAGGCGATTACACAGAACTAGAAAACTGACTCTGTAGTAAAATATAAAAATCTACAATTATAAATATAAATTTGGTCCATGGATCACTACAGAAGTAGCAGTATTTACAGTAAGTATCAGATTGCTATTCTAAATGTCTAATTGGAGTCTTAAAATGTTGACTGTTACGTAGAACAGTATTTTATTTACATTCTACTATATTAAAAGTTGCATTTCTAGCAAATGTAAATTGTTATAAATACAGCGAATAAACCAAATACTAAACCCATGACATGTTTGTAATTGAGGGTTCCCTAATATCTATAAATATGGTAATTTTAAGTTAAAAGTAAAGCCAGATAAATCAAAAAACTAATACTGAAAACATACCACAATTCAATTATTAGAAACACTGTAAAAGTCAATCAAGTTAGTCCAGATGTAACAACGTATTACAAGAAATCTTTCAAGAAAAGGCACACATTGTTAATGATAAAAGTTCCACAGTAAAGTCGTATATAACAGAAATACCTGTTGGTTTGAGCAATGGTTTGGATCTGATTTTATATATATAGTGACTGGACAGATTCTCCCCGCCCAAAGTATAAAACTGAAAATAATAATGGTAAACTCCAGGTGTGATTGGTGTGATGTAGCGATGTGTACGTTTAATTTGATGTGTTAATTAAACTAAAGATTCTAAACTTTCAGCTGCATTTCCATCAGGTAAAGCTGAGCCGTTACTGTCCATAGATGCTGAAGGGTTTTCTTCTTGTCTTGTGCTGACAAGGCTGAGGATAGCTTTGTACAGAAACTGGTACTGTTCCTGGAGGAGAAAAAGGATATACTCAGGATGCTGGCAGAAACAGTTATCTTGTGATAGTGTTACTCAAAATTAGATAATGGCTGATGTGTCAATTGGTTAATGCACTGTGCTCCAGAATTTATTGTGTTACGTAGCAGCTTTATTATTTTCTGACTAATGGCTCCCCCTGCACATGATGTAAAGCACAACATTAGGGAGCACAGTACAGGTAGGGGAGAAAGCTGTATTTTGAAAGAAATATTATATGCTGAATCTGATCCTTATTAAAGTCAATTGCAAATCTGGGGACAGGGTTATGTTTGTTGGCTTTTTTCTTATTTTTTGTCATCTGAATTCTATCTAGGAAGATTTCTTTTTCTACAATACCTCTGGATGACAGTTTTGATTAATTCATGCAGAAACTAAGATGCAAATAGTTCAGTAATGTTGCCCTAAGATTTAGGCATGCTAATAATGTTATACATAGGGAATAAAAAGTGCACGTTGGGCTTATTACTTACAATGTCTGTRAAGACTCCAGGCCTCATCAGATTTATCATCTTTGCTACGTGGTAAACATCCACTGAATTCTCATTTTCCAGTTGATGCATCAGAGTTGTTAATGCACAGAAAGTGCCTGCTGTCACCCCTCCATGCCTTTGTAGAGAAAAAGAAAAAAAAACTCTCTAGAAATGGGTCAGGTTTTACAGCTGGAGAAAATACAAAATCTGGGGCAAACTGGTAAACTGAATTTATGTCATGTGATCTTTCCAATATTTGAAACAGRTCTGCCCAGCATTGGCTTAAAAAAACTTTCATGGTATCTGGCTACAACTTCCTAGAGTTATTTCTCCACAATCCTCTACTAACCAAATCCTGAAGACCTTGGGTCCTTCAGTGTTTCAAAATTTTGTTATTTTTTCCCATTATTGAATGGCTGGACAAGTGTAAGGTGCCTCATCTAAATGGTTAATTCTTTCAGTAAAAGACAATGAAGTCTTGACCAATTTCCTCTCCTGTGRCCTACCTGATAACCATCTAAAGTATCAACATGATAAAACTGAAATGAAGTATAATAAAAAAAAWGTTTCTCTTGCTGATGCAGCTGGAACAAAAGCATCACCATTTCTGTCAAGTTCAGACTTAGTGCCTTGTTTCAGCAGCTTTCACTCAGTGAACAGATGGTTCTACAGAAAAACATCACAACAAACAGAAAAGTGCAGTTCTTACTCATCATGTACAATCATGGGCCCATCACGGGTGGAAGCTTCCTCTTTGATGATACTGATCAGTTCAAAAGTTTTACTAATAGGACTATCAGGATTTGGCCATTTTGGACACTGAAAATGCCTCACTTCGAGTACATAGTCATCCTAAATGATTAGAAAAGAAAACAAACAAAAAAACCCATAAATCAATTTTGTAAAAGATAGWCTTTCTTTATTCTTTTCCTTCACCTTGTTCCAGCTTCAGCCTCCAGATGCAGAATGCCAGTGCTGTGGAGGTCAGAGTACCTTATTCCCCATGTCATTATATTACCTTATARAGGATACTCTCTCCATGGATGTTTATAGGGCTTTTTAAAATGTATTTTTTATCAGTTATTTACCATTGAAAATGTAACAAAATATGGACATTAYTTTTAACAAATCAAGTCCTGAGTTATATGCATATGACAGTGTTACCTGTGTAGCTTCTAAAATAAAGTCTTGGATTATGAGCTTCTCCTCATTAGACAGACACTTGTGTTCTTCAGCAATCATAGTGACTTTGAAACTCTCACAGTTTATAGGCTCATCTTTGTTTGGCCAGTACACAAATTCATCTTCAGCCTCCAGGAAAAAAAAATGGAGCCATAAAAATAAGTAATGTTGAGCTCTTAAAACACAAAATCGAACATAATAAATAATGTCACATATAATCAATCAGCTGGATTTAAATTGACAACTCAAATCTTGAGTGGCATAAAAATGGCAAAGATGATTTTCAAACATCTCTGTAGTGATCCTGACCAGAAGACAACTGTACCCTGTGGACCTACATAGCAATGAACCTGCAGTGTTACACCGTGCCACACATCCAGCCTGGCCTTCAGGATAAACTCACTTGGTGTGTTGCAAAGTATGTGTGGTCTTGGGATTATCTGAAAGTGCAGAAAAATGTTCCCATGGGAGCATCTTTTCTGTTTGCCAGCAGAAATGAAGAGATATTTTTTTAATAGTTTCATTAACCAAAATGGTCAGATGGCTAGGGAATCTTCCTCGACATGGGTCCTGTCTGCCTGCTGGATGTGTTTCAGGGAAGGAAGGGTGGACTCCAGCAGTGGGGGATGCTGAGCTCAGCGAGGCCATGGCTGTCTGTGGGTGGGTGCCAGTGCTCCCTGCTCCAGCTGGGCAGGGCTTCAATGCCCTTTGTGCTCCCCCTTCTGCAGGAGCTGCTGCCCCTGCCCCGTGTGCCCGCCCTGCTGGCTGTGCTCCTGTCCCCTCGTGCTCCCCAGGGGCTCCTTTTATCCATCCATGAGGAATGCTTGCCCACCCGTGCTCCTGGCCCTGCCCCGGTCCCACCAGCTGCTGCTGTGTGAGAAATAACCTCACACTTCTGCCCTTACCTAATAAATATGGCTGAAGAAGCCATATTATAACTAAGAAGTCATGGAGCAAAAACTAACCTTGCACACTGGTTACTTCTACTGTTTGGCTCATTTTGTAAATTGAACGGGGCTGATTCAATACTTTCTCACTCCAATCACAATCTGTCCAGACAAGGATTTCTAGATTTCTGCTAGATGACTTGGGGATTTAAACTCAGTTTGGTATTATTAATTTTAACTGTTTTTTTKAAGAATTCAAGTTCTATTCTCATATCCTGCATATTTCAAAATGGCAATAGTAATAAAATTCCTAYGTAAACCCAAAACCATCATCTACAGAACTCACCATGTTCTGGCTATCAGGAAGCATGACTATCAGCTGGGCATTATGGTCCCATATCATYCTCCAGAAATCCTTGATAGTGTGTAGCAAGGGATGCTGGGTAATGATGAATTCATGACTTTGATAATAACCCTGCAAAATAAAATTGACAGACTCAGAATTGATGCCCAAGTATTAATGCTTAAAAGAAGCTTCTAGTGGACAGAGCGAGAACCTAGAAAACATACTGCTCACTTGCTCTTTGGTTTCCTGCAAATATTAGAAAAATACAAACCTGCCATTGAAGTATTTTCCATGTGAAAAGAATAAATTCAATTACACTGAAACAATTTTTAAAACTTAAAAAAAAATCATAATAAAAAGGACAAGAGAGATCAGGGACTCAAACTCAGAATAAAAATATCCAGATTTCCAGAGCAGCTGACTACTGAACCAAATAAAATACTTGAAAGATCTGCTAAAATCCCAGTTTCTTAATTTGTACAGATATCTCAGATCAACTTCTACCACAAAAGAGAGTTCATGTGCAGTAATGCACCTGAAAGATCATGCACACATGCCGCTGCAGAGAGCTTTCCCATCTCYTTCCTGAGGCATTTACTTCTCCCTCCCAGCTACTGAAGGGGAAAGAGTTGAAGAAAACCCAGAGAACAAAAAGATGATGGAAAGCTGATGAACTATCTTAGACTTTACCAGTTGCAAAAGCTCTCTGAGATGAGCAGGTACGAAGGCAAACAGCACAGTACATAAAAACTAACTTATTAGACTTCTAGCTCATCTCAGAAGATTTTTCCATAGGTGGTATTTAGCATTATCAGTTTTTAAAATGATAATGTGATTTTTGTTTGTACAGATTATTAAAATACAATGCACTTCATCAAACTTAAAACCAACAATAATAATAATACTTCCTGGGGGAGTAACTGTTCCAGGCACAGTAAATAATAGAAGAAAGGAGTTTCCAAAGTCAGGATTGTGCCATCTTAACTTGGATGGACACATGGCAGCTGTGAAAACAGTGGTGCATTGCTTTTCACCAATACATTAACTGACTTACCATGATATAGGAAGCATTGATGTAGTCTGTGCCTTCACCAGACAGTGATGAGATACCCACTCGAGATCTTTCCACTGTAAAAAAGGTTATGAATTCATAAGTATGTTGCAATGACTCCTAAAATATTGTAGCAATTAACTCACATCTCACAGTAATGRTAACACTGAGCTCCATCAATCAGGATAAAGTGCTATCCAGCCATCTATTTTGTCTTCCTGTGTGTAATTCTTAAATCACTTCTTCCCTATAACTTCCCTTTACAGAACATTGCTCCAAACCTAGTCAGATGTCTTCAGTTCTTGTTGAGGATTTGAACAAGCTTACCAGGAATGATAGATGAGGTTCGGTTCTTTTCTCTGTTACACTGTTTGAGTGCAGTTGAATAATCACACTGCTGTGTGTTAGACTGGCTCAGTAACTGAAACAATGAAGTTAAAAAAAAGTCAGGTAACTGTAGAAAAGCCATTCCTTCATAAGCTGCACTAAACAGAAGGGTGCA